TCTCACCAAGAACAAGCTCTCTCTCGCTGAGCCCTACACCGTCCAGGGTGTTGACCCCGAGGATCTCATGCTCACTGCTTGCTTGGCCGCTTCCCGCAAGAAGAAGGGCATGGACGCCATTGACAAGGCCTTTCTCAAGAGCTTGAAGTACTACCCGCGTGCCAAGGGCGTTCTTAGCAAGTACCGCGTTCTGGATTTCCACCCCTTCGACCCCGTCTCGAAAAAGGTTGTCGCCATTGTCGAGTCTCCCCAGGGCGAGCGCATTACCTGTGTGAAGGGTGCCCCTCTGTTCGTTCTCAAGACTGTTGAGGAGGACCACCCCATCCCCGATGAGGTTGACCAGGCCTACAAGAACAAGGTTGCGGAGTTCGCCACCCGTGGTTTCCGTTCGCTCGGTGTTGCGCGCAAGCGTGGTGAGGGCTCGTGGGAGATTCTCGGAATCATGCCTTGCTCTGACCCCCCCCGTCACGACACTGCCCGCACCATCAACGAAGCCAAGGGTCTCGGTCTCTCCATCAAGATGCTTACTGGTGATGCTGTCGGTATCGCTCGTGAGACTTCCCGCCAGCTCGGTCTCGGCACCAACGTCTACAATGCTGAGCGTCTCGGCCTCGGTGGCGGCGGTGACATGCCCGGCTCTGAGGTCTACGATTTCGTTGAGGCTGCCGATGGTTTCGCTGAGGTCTTCCCCCAGCACAAGTACAACGTCGTCGAGATTCTCCAGCAGCGTGGCTACCTTGTTGCCATGACTGGTGACGGCGTCAACGATGCTCCCTCCCTGAAGAAGGCCGATACTGGTATCGCTGTCGAGGGCGCCTCTGACGCTGCTCGCTCCGCCGCTGATATCGTCTTCCTTGCCCCAGGCCTCGGCGCCATCATCGATGCCCTCAAGACTTCCCGCCAGATTTTCCACCGCATGTACGCGTACGTTGTCTACCGTATCGCTCTGTCTATCCATCTCGAGATCTACCTTGGTCTGTGGATCGCCATCCTGAACCGCAGCTTGAACATCGAGCTTGTCGTCTTCATTGCCATTTTTGCTGATGTCGCCACCCTCGCCATTGCCTACGACAACGCTCCCTTCAGCAAGTCCCCCGTCAAGTGGAACTTGCCCAAGCTCTGGGGTATGAGTGTTCTCCTCGGTGTTGTCCTTGCCGTTGGCACGTGGATTACTGTTACCACGATGTACGCGCATGGCAACTCCAACGGTGGTATTGTCCAGAACTTTGGTAACCTCGATGAGGTTGTCTTCCTTGAGATCTCGCTTACTGAGAACTGGCTTATCTTCATCACTCGTGCCAATGGCCCCTTCTGGTCGTCGATTCCCTCGTGGCAGCTGACTGGTGCCATCCTTCTTGTGGATCTGATCGCTACTTTCTTCACGATCTGGGGTTGGTTCGAGAACAGCAACACGAGCATTGTGGCGGTTGTCCGTATCTGGATTTTCTCCTTCGGCATCTTCGTAAGTTTGACCATTGTTCTTTGTGTCTTGGTGAATAAACAGTATGCTAACAGTTGCCGTTACAGTGTATCATGGGAGGTGTCTACTACATCCTGCAAGACAGCGTCGGATTCGACAACCTCATGCACGGCAAGTCGCCCAAGGGCAACCAGAAGCAGCGCTCCCTGGAGGACTTTGTTGTCTCCCTCCAGCGCGTGTCGACGCAACACGAGAAGTCGCAATAAGCGACATAATGACTATAATCACCAATTATGACTACAGAGGTTCATTGAAGTTGCCCGGTCGAGCAAATGGATTACATACCCCTTGGAGGCACCTTGGTTGTTTTGAGATTCATAGACTAGAAAAGTGACTGATGTGGTTGTCGCTGGGCTTTCTTCCTTGAAGATTTGTATCTACCTTTATTATTTCACCGAGGGTTACCACTACCCATCATTTCTTAGACACTAATTTTTATAAATCGTAAAATAACTATTTGTTCCATTCTGTTTGCAAGCGAATGAAAGTCGATGTTGGGATGAAATGAGCTGCATTACTGGAGGCGGTCTTGCTAAACTTGAAAAGCTTCAGGCAGCTGCCCCGCTGAACCAAGTCATTTTCTAGACTCGTAAACTTTGCTCAAAGCAACAACTCCACTGTCATTTATTCGCCTCCATCATCCCATTACACGAAACTCCGAAGACGCATTTTTGCGCATTTCACGTTCTTGATGCTTACGCAGCAAAGCAACTTATGACCGATCGATTGACCAAAACTGGCGTGCTATCAAAACTGGATAACCCAAACCCAAATGAGGTCACAGCAAGATGAATCGGCTTGAGATCCCGGGTTACTATTACGGTGAGTTAAACAAGAAATTTTGCTCCGTGACTTTAAAAGGATGAGTGAGACTGACAATGTCGGCGGCGCAGACGAGGACAAGAAGAAGTACTTCAAGATCGAGGCCAGCAGGACAGCCCCGATCAGTGCCGCATGGTCTGCCAGCAGCGTGAAGCGTCGGCAGCTCGAGACCCACGAGGCCGAAGCACGCCGCAAGCGTCTGGCGCGAGATGCTGGTCGTATCAGGCGAGCGAGGATCCTGCATGAGCCTCTGGCTGGTGGCTGTTTTCTGAGGCGCGAGATTGGGCAGCAGCAGAAGCAGGCCTATTCCCCCTCGCTAGAAGATGCCCGGCGGGAGAGCTGGGCACAGGGCTTGAGGAACAAAGGGGATATTCGGCTGTGGCCGGACCTTGGCGATGCGGCGGGTGCTGGTGTGACGTTGATGTATATCGGTGGGCAGGATGAGAGGAGTGGATTGGGGGTTTGCTATGCTGGTGAGTTAACTTTGTTCCTTTCTGCGGGGAAGGGAGAATGACTGACGTGATGGGTTGAAGCGCTGGACGACGACTCCTTGATGAGTTCGTATATTCCGAGGAATGATCGGGATGAGTTAGTCCACGTTCATTGCTTTGGTGCGAGTATGGGCTTGACTTGTTGACTTGCTTGTCGATTAGGATCGACTTTCGGGAAGCCGCCGTCAAGTATCGAAACACGGATTTCAAGCCTACCGCCGAGACCACCCACACTCCCCAGCTCTCGTCGCTCAAGTATCATGCGCCATCACACAAGATGCTAGTCACCTCGCGGCAACCCGGGCATCCCGCTGGCATCGGTATCTTCACGCCGAGACTGCAGATGCCGGGTGACGGCGATGACCCTAGTTTACTGCCGTTGTGGCGCCTTGGTGACGGTCTGTTCCCCTTGGTATATTCATCTAGCCTTGGCGGCTTTCTTGTGGCTTGTTGTTATCAGAAGGCGAATATATGCCCAGGTGTACATTGTGGATAAGGTTGTGAGGAGAGAAGCGCTGACCGAAGTACGTTCTGTGTTGTAGACTCTTCCTTCACCGTCTTCGGTGGACTCCCGTCAGCATTCAAAGGGGCAGTTGTCAACACTTGCGCCCCGGCACCTGCATCGTCACGATTTATCTGCGTCGCAGGGACGAACATGGGCATTTTCACACATCACGAACAGCACGACCGCACTCGGCTGTGTTGGCTGACCAGCTTTCCTCCTAATCATAATGCAGGCAAACCCTATCGTCAGCGTAGAGGAGGCGGGACCACACATGATGATCACCGCACTTTCATTCCCGATGACTTCTACATGAAAGAAAGCCACGGCGAGATCTTTGCGCTCGATTTCCTCGCGCAGAACCCGGCCGACGTAATCATCGCGGCCGGCCGGTCGCGCGATATTTGCTTGATCGACACGCGTTGTCCGGAAGACGAGTGGACGTACATCCAGCACAACTCGTCGGTCGCACACGTCAGGTCGGTGGGCAACTACGAGGTGCTGGCAGCTGGGCCGCGGAGCTCCATGGCGATTTATGATGTGCGGTATAACCGGTATTCTCCCTACCAGAATAATAACCGCAGTACATATACCAGTTCGGGTGGTCCTTCTGCTGGTAGTAGTAGTGCTGGGAGTGCTCGCCGTAACCACCACCAGCACCGGAGGGCGAAAGACGGCAGCAACAGGTCATCAAAATTATTACCGGCGGTTGCAAAGTCATCAGCAGTACCGGTCGTCGAGTTTCCCGAGTACAAGAACGACCCATATCTTTTGCACATCGGATTTGACGTGCTGGACCACAAAGACGGGGGAATCGTGGCCGCGGCGCACGACGATGGCGCCGTGGGGCTTTATTCGCTGAAGAGCGGGCGCCGGCTTCGCGTTCCTGCCTTCGATGATAAGCACAACACCGGCGGTGGAAACAACAGTGTTGTCAAGAGCTTGATGTTCCAGACCATGCCCGGGGATGTGCATCCCAGCCTCTTTATCGGGCGGGGCACAAAGATTGAGAAGTTTTCGTTTGGGCGGGCTTTCAAGAGGAAAGGGGGAGGTGTAGTGGAGGGGCTGGAGGATTAGATACAACATCTTGTCTGGGTGTTATTGACTGAACGGGGGTCATTGGTTGCGTTTGGCTTTTGTACTTAGATATCCACTGTCATGAATAGAAGGAGCACGGCATCAGTGCAACAACTACTTACTATCCACCTGAGGATGGGTTATCGAGTCCTCATTAGCTGTACCTACCTACCACTGTCAATATATCAGCAGATTTATACATTTGCTCGTGTCCATTAAATGAGACAGACGTCCATGTTTGTTTTTATTGCTATATCACGTGTCTATGTGTGCCAGTCAAGCAAGGCCAAAGTGAGCCAACGACCAGTTCACTCGGTGTCATGATCACTATGCCATCTCTATTTCCGAATCTGGTGTTGTATTTTTTTTTTTTTAATTATTCTCGTTCAGGAAAGGTTTTGGTAGAATTTTACTACCGACCCTATGCTGATCACTGCGCTCTCGTGACAGACCATATGGTTAACCAGCTAACTGTTTACTTTTCTTTTTCTTTGTTCTTTTCGGGTTTGCTGTGAGGTTTGTATTATAGACACTGAAGGGGAAATTTTTGCAATTCTTTTTTTTTTAAAAAAAAAAAGTATCTCGATATCATCCTTTTTAGGAAGGGAGGGGGACGAGTGAATGAGTTTGCCCACAGCCAGAATCGAACTGACGACCTCATCATTGACCTTGAATAAACATTTCATAAGATGTGGAATATAGATACTAGTGATGCGCTCTACCTCTGAGCCATGCGGGCTTTATGTTGCATTGTGTGTTTTGTCGTTCCGTTATTGCGGTGGATGTTGTGGAGAAATTCGAGTCAAGTCATCCACCTGACTCGGAACTCCTGGATGACAGACGGAAGTCTGTTGAATGAACAACATCTATCTATCTTGGGTAAGTAACCACCTACATAGTGATGGGAATGTACGTAAGTAAGGTCTTCACCGGGGAAAACAGGAATGAAGCATTCTACCAGTTTGGATAATACCTGTTTATTTACCTTACTTATCAACAACATCTTGGACTTCAGTTAGGAGGCCGGACATAAGATGACAAAGCTCCTCTTGAAAATTTAGGATGTGGAATGTGGATTATTAGGAACAACCATCATATTAATTACACATTATGCCACTGCCTCCACGTCCAACGTCCCATTATCCAGTCATCCATCCATCCCTTAATCCAACCATAAAAGCGAGTGTCTGTAAAGCGAACGAGGGTATCTTCGATCTAATAATGCAAAAAGTCCACCTCAAAGCAATCTGTCATGTCCATTATTTCTTCTTCTTCTTCCAGGCCTTGCAAGCGAATTCGAGGGTTGTAACAATGGCATCCGCTCCTCATCCATCGTAAGTCAACCAGGAGGATAGATGTTTCGACGGCTGATCGGTATAATCCTGGAAGGAGCCAGAGAAGTCACTTTAGCCTGCTCAACCTAAGCAGCAGAAACAACACCACCGGTGGTACCCGGCGCAGCAGCCTCCTTCTCAGGATAAGTGCCCCTGGTAGCATGAACACGGCCGTACTGCGTGAAAGCAATGTTGAGCCTGTTGTAGTCCCACTTGGCCGAGAGGCCAACAACAGCAAACGAAATAACAGGCACCAGCAGGACATCAAGGACACCGAACCAGACGGAGCTGGAGGTAAGCCTGATGCGGTTGCCACCATCACTAAGACCCCAGGCGAGAACATAAAGGAGCCACATCATATTAAGCCAGCCGGCGAGCAGAGTATAGTCGCGGCTGATGCCGACCCTTGTCGCGGAAGTGCGGCCGTGGGTGAGCGTCGAGACGGCCAGGAAGAAGTAGGCGACAGTACCAAAAGCGAAGAAGCCCCACTTGTAGTTGGTGGCGGTGTAGGCGCCGACGAGATAGCTGACGATCCAGACCCAGCTCAGCGCAACGTTGTACAGGATGGTGGTCCAAGAGATGCCAGACAAGATACCGAGCGCCAGGATGGCCGCCGGGAACGTCACCACCCACTGGACGTACTTGGCAAAGAAGATCTGGCGGGTCGCGCCGTGGCTGAGGATCTGGTTGGAGGTTGGGATGACGGTCCAGGCCAGATCGGAAGCCATGGCGTAGTAGGCGATGAGGCCAACAAAGTCGGCAATGATGAACAGGTAATGGAAGAAGCGCTCTCCGGCGCGAGCTCGCCAGCTCAGGCCGAACAGGGCAAGCTGGAGATGTGAAGTTAGTCTATACTGTCTGGGTACATAACTTATAAGGTAGGTGGTTATAGGATCAACTCACGAGTGAGACGCCATAGATGGCAGTGACTGTGTAGAGCCAGTTAGAGCCATTGGTGGTCAGGAACTGGGCTCCCTGTGGCGGGTTGGTGGTCAACGCGTCGTTGCGGACATAGATGATGGAGGGTGCCATTATGTTCAAGCTAATTATCTCAAGTGGGCGTCCCGGCGGAAGGTTGCTATGAGTCTAGGGTTTCAATTGTGGTGGTTAAGCAGGGGTGTTTGTACCAGTCAAAGCATGAGTGAGATGTGAGATGAGGAAAAAGGGGCTGTGTAGAGAGAAACGAGGATGGTCTTATACACGCCTTCCCTCCTCACTCATCAAGGAGCAACTTCACTCTAGTGAGAGTGGATTTATCGCCGGGTTCACTGGAACGAGACAATACGGAGGGAGAAGGAATCGCCATCGCACATCATCGGGCATCCCCCGCGCGTGCGGTGGAAAATTCTCGAAATCCGAGCATTCCGGAAGCGCGGACAGAAAGAGAGGATGAGTAACTTCATGATGGAGGGTTGGGAAAGAATGCCGATTGCAGCAACAACCAACACGGTAACCTCGCGCTCGCGAAGCGAAACGAAAAAGGAAGCGATCGAGACCATGCCTGCTTAGTTATCAACACAAACATGATCCAATGGAACATCCCGCCACTCGTCAGGAGACTTCCTTCTCAAGGTCGTCCGCAAGGAGATAGAGGCTCGAGTGCTTCCGCGCGCTGGCGGTCAACAGAAACATCCACCGTTTGTGCTCTGTCCTTCCTCATCCCACTGCATAGGTACCGCACCCTGCAGACGTCGACGAGGGGGAACGTTGGGAAAAGGCCGGCCTCCATCCGCGGCCGAGAGTAGTCGGCACAAGCAAATCTCATTCGTACGTGGCCGGCGCCGTCATCTTCGGGATGTGGTTGCACAGTACAGCGACAAAGGGACGATATCAAGCACATGACAATGCTTACAACATCTCTCCAAGACCGACAAAAGAGGTTTTTTCATAGGAAGTGATCTTCGATTCCATGGAATGCTTCTTTCTGGCGAGCCGCGGCATTGGCTGCCTGTCGTCTCATCGATTTCCGGTTTCGTAAATCTGCAGCTGTACGATTTATATTGCAAAACAAGACAGTGAATCATTGCCGGCCCTTGACAATGGCATGAGAGTTAGAAGGGCCCTCTTTCCGAGCTAATGCCGGCACTTGCGCGCATATCGAGTGTTGCTCTTGTGAAATCAGTGGAGAGTTGGTAAGAAAGTTGAGGTTGTGGTAGACCACGTGAGACCTCGCTGGCGCCGAGTGGCGGTCCCGTGGTCGCCGGTGAGGTTCGCCAAGATGCCCGGTCGTTGCTCACTCACCTAAACCACCAAAGACCACTCCTTTCGTATCTAAGATCGGCACAGCAGAGATGACAGCGCTGGGCGTACCTTCCTCTGAGTCCGAGGAGTTCTGCGCCGCTTTTACCTACCTACCTACACATTGGGGCAGCAGCTTCCTCCACGAGTCCACATTTAACTCGGAAGTCAAATGATTTGTGCTAGAGGTGATCAGACTTGCAGGTTTTAGTCGATCGGTCTTCTGGTCATATGACATGGACCTTCGTCTCTTCTTGGACGTGTAAAGTGCCTGGGACACAAACCCGAAAGCTCCGTCACTAACCGGCCATTGGGCTTTGTAAGCAACCATCATCTCCATTTCGGAATTATCTCGTAAATCTTACGCTCTTCCATCTGTCCCGGACGTCCATTGAAGCTCCCCGAGAGCGTGTTCATGCATGACACGAAAGCTTACCTACCCGGTACAGTACTGTTGTCCTTCGCCTTCTTTCCCTCTCTTTCCTACCCCATGCTAATTGCTTGCTTTTGTTGCCACCCAGTATAACAAAGTGAATTCAAAACGCCAAGATGCCGAACCCACCAATTTTCTTTTTCATTCATACATGCAATCGTCCTCCCTATACCAAATAGGAGGTTCTGTAACTAAGAACCAAGCCCCTACCAAACAAAGAAGCACCGCTCCCAACGATATTCCATCACGAATTCCCCGTCTTCATCTGCCACACCGCCGCCTTAGCCCGTTCCCTAATATCCAGCTCGCTATCCGCCTGCTCTAACGTTTCCAGCTTGGCCAAAAACCCCAGCTTCCGCAGCTCGTGCGCCCGCTGCCCGCACGCCGTCGCGTCACTCGAGTCGTCCTGCCAGACCAAGTTCGTCAGCAGCTGACACAGTGCCCCCCGGACCCCAATATCCTTGCTATTGAAGTGCTGCGCGAGCAGCTTCAGCAAGTCGATCTGCGAGATCACAAGCTGCCGGTGCCGTGGCACGCTCGCGGCGATGTGAACCAGCACGTAAATAACAGCCTCGATCACCTTGGCCTGCGGGTACAGCACACGCGTGTCGCGGCCGGCCGAGTAGCGCCGTGTAAACGGGTGAAGCACTTTGACGCGCAACTTCGACGCCAGGATATCAAACAGAATGTCCTGTCCGATCTCCTCGAACACGTGATCCACCATCTCCATGAGGCTGGCCGACGGCTGGCCCATGAGGTTGCGTATGAAGCATAGCCCCTGCTCCTGGATCGCGAGGTCGTCGGTGCGCGCCTTTCGGGTTGGGTTGAGCTCCGCCTCGCGCAGCGCCTGGAGCCTCTTCTCGGCCCTCAGCATGCGCGGCGACTGCGCCCGTAGCGCGGCGAACTTGGGCGGGCATGGCGTGCGGTATTTGGGCGTCCACATCCAGTACTTGCTGCTCCAACTGGTCGTATCGTCCTGATAGCCGCCACCACCACCGCCCTCGGTATCCATGTCCTCGTCGTCGTCCGCGTTGGGATCGCCACGCCTCTCAGATCTGGCGCGGGCGCGCAGCGCCTCATCCTCTGTCTCGTCGCATATCAGCCGGACAAGCCAGCCGGACCCTAGTTCTTCCAAGATGTGCTTCTTTAGGGAATTCTCAACCGACAATACGAGGTGCTTCAGCGCCCACATGGAATTTAATCTCAGGCCGGGGTTGAGAGAGTGAGCATATTCGCAGAGAACCTTGATGATCCCAGCTTCTATGAGGCTCTGTACCACAGTCAGTAAAGGTAGCAAGGTTTCTGTGAAACCTCCAGATATAATGTCGTGAACTCACCTCCCGCATTGGGCTAAAGTCTAGAGTCATGTTGCACACCACACCGGAGGCCGCGAGTTGGACTTCGGTGTCAGGGTGCTTTAAAAGCCGAAAGATGGGCATCGCAACCCCATTGTCCTCAAGGGTCGTCCGAAGGTCTCGGACGGACCGACTAAAAGCCCTCATAAGGTGACACGCCGCGATGAGTACCGAATTAGGATTATTTCCATAAGGCGAGTTATCAATCGGGAGAATGACCTCGCTCACTTTATCCGTCGCTTTAAGCTTCTCCTTCCCGCTCTTGGGTTTTGCCGGCACCGGGAACAGCGATTCCACCATGTAAGGAACGATATCCTGGTCGAGAGCCTTGCGGCACTCGTCGTTAATAACCATGGCCGCCAAGAGCTTCAAGCTGTTC